AGATAGATAGATAGATAGATAGATAGATAGATAGATAGATAGATAGAGGGTTGCTGTTTGCTCTGTCAGATCTGGGGAGAAGGTGTTTGAACTCTGGGACAAAACTCTGTGAATTCTCTGGACAAGCAGGAGAGAAACTCCAACAAGAGAACCCATTGGATACCATAATAGGGATGATATCCGTATTTAAATCGACACGCCAAACGACAACCCTCAGACGACGGTGAGGTTACAGCTCGAGGTGAGTTTTATCATTTTGGCCTGTGTTCGTCCCGTTTAACAGCGGCTGAAAACATTATAAGCTCCAGACGAGTGTGTGTGTGTTTGGAATTCCCTTAGATAGATAAACATGTCAGAGGCTCACAGGTTTTTGTTTTTTTCAGCCAAAAAATAGTGAAAAAAGTGATGTTTCTCACAGTGTAAATGGTGAATTCATCCAGTTAAAGATTAATTTGATTTTCAATTGCATTAAAAAGATAAACGTTTGATTTTTGAGTTGTAAATTGAAATTAGTTATTTATTTACAGTTTTGTCCTCTTGTTCCAAAACTTTATGTCTTTTCATCGAACAGTCACCATATTTTCATGGTGATTTTTGTTGCAATACCAAAATGCAGATAGGGATGGATTATTACTCCATATTTAGGATGGGTCAATAGGGGATTCCAGCTTTAAACAAATTATTAAGAGTTGCTATTATGAAGAATCAGTCAGGAAAACACACTTTTTCCTGTTTTTTTGTATATATTCAAAGTATTTATTTCATTGTGAGATAAACATTTGAGTTTTGAGTCGTACATTATCTGTGGAGATAAGTGAGAAATAAAACGTGATGTACACCAAAAGCACATTGTGTTTAGGGTGAGGTGAAATAAGCACGTTTTCCTGTGTTTGAACACACAGAGAGTCATCACAGCTGGCAGAAGCCTCTGATCTAAAGGTGTTAGCTCTGCCATCAACATTAACTCTCAAACCCAACAAAATATAAGAAATGGCTCCTTCACACTGTTCGTCTTTATATAAATGTAGATGTTCTTCTGAAACGGCTCTATTGTGAGATTTATTTGTGCTCTTCCTGAAATATGATTTGCATGCCTTTCATTTCTCCGGGGTGACGGATTTCCTGCTTTTCTCCTGCAGATGGATCTTCGTTTGCTGTTATTAGCGGCGTTATCGGCCTCCTTCAGCTGGGCGCAGCAAGGTAAGCAGAGAGAGCAGCTCTGCTTTCCTCCACAGCCAAGCGCAGTCTGACGCCTCAGTTCAGTAGTATTTAACCCTTTAAAGCCTGAAAATAAGAAAAATATTGGATTTTTTTAGTCTGAAGTCTTTTTTTGGCCCCTCAACAACATATAAAGAAAAAAAACAGAAATAATTTTGATCAAATTAGCGTGTAATAAGTCAAAAATATATTTTGGTGTAGTCTTCTACTGGCTGTTATCAGGTATATCTGAATGTGTACAACAGGGGTTTGAGCAAAGCTTTTACCACTGAATGATGCAAAAAGTCTCAGTTCCAAAAGACTTCAGAAACCGTATCAAATATGACACATCTGCTATTATAGGGATAAATCCTATCAGTGGTAGAGCAGCCCCAGCCTCTGTTGGTTTTTTTTTGGGGGTGTTCGCCCCCCGGGCGCCCCCCCCCCCCCCCCCACCAGGAGGTTAAGTCATGTCTTGGTCAGCTGCCCACAGCCTTTCCCAGCATGACTCACTTCTCTGGCTGTGTTTCACAGCCAAAGGCTGGTTGGAGTTT